CCAATTTGGTCTGGGTCCGAGGTGGGCTTAATAACCGGTGACTACTGTATTACAAAAGGGCTGCGGGGTATTCATTCAGTCCGCTCCACGAGTAGGCTTCAAAGCCAGGGAGCCAAGTAGCTATGATGAAAAATCGATGGCCACGGCGTGCTCTCATGACAGCGGCGTGGACGTGCACTCGGGCGCCTGCCTGTAAGATGAGCAATCGTGGGAATCGGCGCAGTCCCAACAACACCAATCGGCTTTTTTTGCTAGCGGCGAGTTTTCAGGTGTAATTTCAATGGTTAATGTATTTCTCATAGTCAGGTCACGTGAAAGAACTGCTTTAAAACGTGTACTTTCGCCGTAAGAAGCCTAACTCATATTACACAAGATGGTAAGGTTTCAAGTATTTTCAGTAATTTCTGGGTTATTAGATCATTCGGAAGATTACATCTCCCTTATCAGTATATTGTACCAGAAGAGGAGACAAAAGCTAAAAAAAGGGGAAATCGAAACTATTAATCCCAGGTTTTTCGTTTTGTTCTCCGCCTAAAGTTCCTACCTAAATGACTACAATCCACCTTCAGCCATTCCCCATAGTATGATTTGGTTTGCGTGAAATTACCTAACGACGATTTCCCATGACCAACAGAGTTACCAGATGTACGGGAGTCCAGCAAAGGTTTTTTAAATGAATATTGGCGAGGACGAGAAGGGAAGCTGGAATGGCAATTTCTGGCTTATTAGCCGTCGTCAGACAACCATATCTAACACTTGGTGGTCCACCAATCGAAGCTCGAACGGGTTTACTAACTATTGAGCTACGAGGCAGGTGTCTTGCCGGCTAAGATCGGAAATAGTGACATTCACGAACGAAAGTTCACCGAGCGTTTACAGTAATTTTGATCTGCCTACTATACTAGCAATAATGCGGCTGCTGGCGAAGGTCGAGAATACACCTTAAGGCAGAAGGAGACGAGGGAGTTCCGTAACCCTTCAATGAGCATTAGTCTTTCAAACGTTTTCTATTTCGCAGCGTTTACAACTAGAAAATTGCCTCTACGTTTAAGCTACCTCACTAAATCGGGCCGGCATACGTAGACACAAAATTGGCTAGTGTCCGTCTGATCATTCGTAGTCAACTTTTGTGATGAAACGGTTTAAAAATAGTGCATTTCCAAATTACTTGCATTGTGCACACGCATGACAAACACGGTTTAAGTAGTTCCCACATCCTTCTACTACTGGTCCAAAGGAATGCACAATAATGGGAGATGAAAGTTAAAAAATACAGAAATCAAAATCGTTAGTTCCCAGTTTGAGAGTAAACACCAAACTTTAACGCCGTTTCAAATAAAACGGACGGCGATCACAAGTCTGTGTTGGATTTTGGATGGTGATAGTGTATTTCATCCTAAGGCATTATGATGGAATAGATTGCTCACTAATGTGGGCTGAAATACTCATAAACGGAGGCTTTGACTTGCTAAAGCGGTCAATCATCGCGGAAATTTTTTACAGCTTTCTTTCGGCTCTGAACGGTGGTTTGACCCGATAAAATTTACACATCTAACAACTTGACTTGGTCACTTTTATGTTGTAGGAGACAATGGTTTCAGCTGCATCAGCGGTTGGAATGGCAGTCAGGCTTACCTACCTGAACCTCATCGCGAACAATGGAATGCTGCCGCCAGACGTGGATCTGTTTGATCCCTTAGAGCACGGAACTGTGGATGTCCCCGTCCTGCCTAACATCACGTTCCAATTCGCGCGGGCAGGAGACGGTTATATGGACTACTACGACTTCTACTTCTTCAGTCTGACTCAGAGTGTTTGTAATGGGAGTTTGAATTACACAGAAGCACTATACGATGACATTTTTGAACTTACCTCCGTCATTCTGTGGCCTTTGACAAGTCCCGATGAAGTAAACAAAAAGATCTGGCCAAATGGAAGTGAAGGACCGAAAAGGAATTACTGTCTTTTCGCCATATGTCATGAATGTATGTACTTAATTTATTTTTCCTATTGTTAAATTGAAGAACAGCTTGTGTGACTGCTCGCATTCCTGCATACACTATGTCTAAGGCCTTGTTGATATATCTGATATTTTGTCTGAAATGCTGCCAACCATGCAATCCTACGGTGGCCTCTCACATTTATCATTCACTCTTTGATGAACATTCACCTGACTGCTAACGGAACTCATCTGGCACGCTCTGCCCTACGCCTCGGCAGAGGCCGTGACGTGTGTAGTAGTAGGCAGATAGTATGGCCAGCAAAAACAAGGGAGACTGGAATGGCCATTTTCGGCTTATAAGCCGTCGTCAGCCAGTCAGACCCAGGCCCAAATGGTGTTCCACCCAAGCCTCAAACTCGCGACCTTTTGATCAGAGCCAAACGCCCTACGCATTGCGCCACGAAGACGACGGCTAATAAGCCAGAAATGGCCAATACTATCTGCCTAAAGTTATCGTCGTTGTTTGCAGTAAGAGACAGCATCGAGGGTACTATCGGATTTTTGAATATGTTAAACTATCGACCAACCCCTAAAAATGTCTGACCTCGGCGAACTAGCAGAGGCTTCTTTTGTGGTATGGTTCTGAGTGCTGGGAATGCCGTCATTCCCAAGACGAGTTTATATCACCGAAGAGCACGCGCATGCATCTCCCACACCGTATGCCATGAGCGCGCGCTGAACATTATCCCGCCTTGGCGGTGGCAACAGAGCTCTGGTCAGATCTGACTGGCCCATGTGTGCCTGTAGTCGTTCGGCTCTTCTAGAACTTTAAACACAGGCTTTTTTTCAATTAAAATGATCTGCTCGTTTTCGGCAAATTCGGGCAAAAATAAGCTTCGTGTAACTAACCGGATCATAACAGAAAACAAATCTAAAAATAGCGGAAAATAGCGAGGTATTCCCTAATCTCGATAGAAATTTGGAGTCAAAGATGAGAACAAAAACGTATTCCAAATAGAAGGATTGGCAAAAGTAGTTTTGATAAAGCGTTATTGGATAAAACGGTATCCTTTATAAAATATTTTTATTAAATTCCCTATCGAGGCGTCAGTCGGGAATTCTGCATCTACAAACCTCTTCG